CACCATGCCGTTGATGGACACCCAGCAGTTGCGCGGGAAGTCCTGCAGCATGGGCACGAGGAACTGCAGGCAGCCGTCCCAGTGGCACAGCAGCAGCATCATGCTGATGAGGTTGCAGATGCGCATGACCGCGCTCGCCAGGTCGTAGGTCATGTGGAAGATCTGGGGTGGGCGGGCGAGTGACGGAGGAAGGAGACCCCTGCCTGCCAGACTCGCGCGCCCTCCCCGCACCCAGGACCACCGTCCCGTCCTGCAGCCCTGTTCCCCTCCCACCTCCCCTTCGGAGCCTTGTCGCTGCTCTGGCAAATGGGGGCGACATCGCTGGGCACAGGCCGTCCAGAAGCTGGACCCGTCTTGGGGGACAGGGGCGTGACTTCGCTTTCCCGAGCCCCAAGGGCCTTGGCGCGGATGTGTCAAAGGTCCGCACCGTGTTCTCGCGGCTCTGTCCCGTAGCCCGGGCCCCACCACCATGCCTGGTTCCACTCCCTGTGGCCTACAGGCCCCTCACGGCAGGGCAGCCCTGGGGACTCCGCCCGAGGCCCCTCCGTGACCTCCCTCCTGCGCCTGTAACCACCCCCTGACTTCTTCCTCGGCCCCGCCCCGGGGCCCTCACACCCGCCTCGCGCGCTCACCTCCTCCCACTGGTGGATGTAGCGGATGAGGCGCGACAGGCGCAGCAGCCTCAGCAGGCTGAGGATCTTGGTGAAGCGCACGATGCGCAGGGCGCGCGCCGTCTTGTAGACCTCGGAGTCGATGCCTTTCTCCACGATGAGGAAGATGTAGTCCACGGGGATGGAGGACACGAAGTCCACCACGAACCACGTGCGCAGATACTTCTTCTTGATCTTCTCGGGGTCCAGGATGATCTCCGTGTTGTCCTCGATGACAATGCCCGTGCGGAAGTTCAGCACCAGGTCCATCAGGAAGAACGTGTCCGAGACGACGTTGAACACGATCCACGGGGCCGTGGTCTCGTCCTTGAAGAAGGTGATGCCCACCGGGATGATGATGAGGTTTCCCACCATGAAGAGCAGCATGGTGAAGTCCCAGTAGAACCTGGGGGACAAGGGCCGTCAGCCTCGGGAGCCCTGCCCACTGCGACTTTGGCCCCGGGTCATGGCTAGTGTGGGCTCCGCCTCCAGGAAGTCCTCCCACACCTCAGACAGCACCCCACTGCCCGCTAGGCTCCCCCAGCTCCAGGCCCTCCCGCTGGCCCAGCTCTGACCTGTCACAGAGCCCGAGGTCGCTCAAAAATTGGTTAAATATTCCCTTGACCAAAAGGCCGAATGTGTCTGGCACAAGGTTGGCTTCCAAGGGACAAGGAGATGGGGGACAAGCAGAGAGGAGCGGGTGGCGGGGAGTG